ATATTAGTACAAATACTAATGTCTTTAATTTTTTAGTGTTTGAGAGAGAGAGAGGCATTCAGTCATCACACTTATGACTTAAAAAAGGATCTATTTTTATTCTTAATACCTATAGAATATGTGATGATATCAACTCTGTATTCCTTATATTGATAATTCGTCTTTTATTTTTTTCCTAATTAGTCTGGCTAAAGCTTAATCCATTTTACTGATTTTCTGAAAGAACCAGCTTTTGCTTTATTTGATTCTATTGTTTTCTTTTCTTCTATTTCATTGGATTCTGCCTTAGTCATTATTATTTCATTTATTCTGCTTTATGTTTGATTTGCTCTTTCTTTTCTAGTTTTGTAAGGTGGAAGCTGAGATCATTGATTTGAGACCTTTCTTTTTCCTGATATAGACATTTAGTGCTGTAGATTTTCCCTTAAGTAATGCATTAATCACATCTACAAATGTGGTATGTTGTTTTCATTTTCATTCAGTTCCAAATACTTCTAAAGTTTCTCTTTAGATTTTTTCTTCAATCTCCTCATTATAAAGAAAGGTATTGTTTGGTTTCCAAATACTTGGGAATTTTCCAAGGATTTTTTAGTTATTGATTTCTAATTTAATCTTTTTGTGGTCAGAGTACATAGGTTGAATGATTTGAATCATATTATATTTTATTGAGTCTTATGACCCAGAATAGTTCTTTGAGCACTGGAGAAGAATGTGTATTCTGCTATTGTTAGGTGTTCTATAAAAGTCAATCAGGTCAAGTGATTAATAGTGTTATTCAAATATTTTATATCCATACTGATTTTTTGCATACATGGTCTAGCAATTATAGAGTAGTGTTAAAGTCTCTGATTATAGTGCTCGCTTCGGCAGTACTATACTAAAAAAAAAAGTCTCTGACTATAATTGTGGATTCATCTATTTCTTTGTGCAGTTCTATCAGTTTTAACTTCATGTATTTTGAAGTACTGTTATTAGGTTCATAAAGCATTTAAGACTGTTATTTTCTCTTGATTATTCGATCCCTTTATCCTTACAATGATAAAATGAACTTCTTTATCCTTAGTAATATTCTTCGGTCTGAAATGTATTTTGTTTGATTTTAAAGTAGCTAATCTCATTTTCTTTTGTCTTGTGTCAGCATACTTTCTATCTTTCCATCTTTTCACTTTTAACTGACTTATCATCTTTATATTTAAAGTGCACTTTTTGGGGTACCTGGGTGGCTCAGTCGCTTAAGTGTCCAACTTGATCTCAGGTCATGATCTCACAGTTTGGTTTGTGAGTTCGAACCCAGCATCGGGCTCTGTGCTTACAACTCAGAGCCTGGAGCCTGCTTAGATTCTGTGTCTCCTTCTCTCTCTGCCCCTCCCCAGCTCACGCTCTGTCTCTCTCAAAAATAAACATTAAAAATTTTTAAAAAAATAAAGTGCATTTTTTGTAGGCAGCATCTAGTTGGGTCTTGCTTTTTTATTCAACTTGACAAGCTATGCCTTTTAATCAAGCTGTTTATTCCATTTATCTTTAATTTATTAATGTAGTTAGATTTGAGCATATCCTTTTGCTATTTGTTTTCTATTTGTCCCACCTGTTATTTGTTACCCCTTTCCGTTTTCCTCCTTCTTTTGGACTAATCAAGTTTCTTTTTGATTTATCTTCTTTTTTGCTTTATTAGTTGTAATCCTTTATTTTGTTATATTAGTGATTGCTTAAGGGTTTATAATATATGTTTATTTATCATAGTCTGCCTTACAGTGATATTATGCCACTTCACATGTACTATAAGAACCTTACAATATATTCTTTCATTTATCCCCTCTTGGCCTATTTGATATTGTCATGCACTTTATTTTTCATTTCTACAAGTTTAATTTGGATCTTCCTTTATATTTTCTGTGACTCTATCTTTTTGAATATATGCAATACAGTTATAATAACTGTCTTAATATTCTTTTCTGTTATTGCTAACATCTGCATCAGTTCTGAGCTGCTTTTCACTAATTATTTTTCCCCCTATCAGTTGTGTTTTCCTGGCTCGAGTAATCTTTGTTTGGATGCCAGACATTATGAATTTTACGTGGTTCAGTGTTGAATGTTCTTATAGCTTTATAAATCTTGAGCTTTGTTCTGGCAGATACTTAAGTGATTTGGATATTTTTTTCGTCCTTTGGGGTCTTCTATTTACTTTATAGTAGATAGGTCTGGAGCAGTGTTCATTGTAGGGCTACTCCTCCACCTCTGAGGCAAGACCTTCCTGAATAACCTACCCAATGCCTTGTAAATTTTGAATTTTTCCAGCCTGGCTGATTGAAATAGGCACTGTTCCTAGCCCATCGTCAGTGACAATAACTCTTCCCTCTAATCTTTACAGATGGTCCTTTCTCTGGGCTAGGACAGTTTCCTTAGATGCATACACTGATCAGAAATACTTGAGGGAGGACTCTGCAGATCTGTCCAATATTCTGTCTCTGTGAAGCTGTCTTTTTTCTGTTATTCTGTCCTGTGAACTCTAGCTGCTTCAGTCTTCCTGGACTCTAGGGTCTGTTTTCTGAACTCAGGGAGTCTGCCAGACTCTGTCTCAGCTTTCTCTTCCTTCTGCCATATTTGGAAACTCTCTCAAAGTAGCAAGCTGGGGCAGTTGTAGGACTCACCTGGTTAGTTTCCTCTCTCAGCGATCACTGTACTTTGTTGCTTCATATAGAGTATCCTGAAAACTGCTGTTTAAGATATTTTGTCTGTTTTGTTTTGTTTTAGGTACTTTGGGTGGGATGGTCCTTGTTTGTTCATCTTGGCCAAAAGGCAACCTCTAGTCATTGCTTTTGTCCTCTTTGAGATTTAGTCCTTTCTCTCTCTCTCTCTTTTTTTAATAAATAGTTTATTGTCAAGTTGGTTTCCATATAACACCCAGTGCTCATCCCCACAAGTGCCCTCCTCCATGCCCATCTCCCCCCTCTCCCTCACATCCATCAGTCCTCAGTTTGTTCTTAGCATTCAAGAGTCTCTCATGGTTTGCGTCTCTCCCTCTCCCCCACTATTTCCCCCCTTCTTCTCCCCCACAGTCCTCCGTTAAGTTCCTCCTAATCCTCCTATAGGTGCAAACATATGATATTTGTCCTTCTCTGCCTGACTTATTTCGCTAGGCATAACACCCTCAAGGTCCATCCATGTTGCTACACATGGCCAGATTTCATTGTTTCTCATTGCCATGTAGTATTCCATGGTATAGATAAACCACATCTTCTTGATCCATTCATCAGTTGATGGACACTTAGGGTCTTTCCATGTTTTAGCTATTGTTGAGAGTGCTGCTATGAACATTGGGGTACATGTGCTCCTATGCCTCAGCATTTCTGTATCCCTTGGGTTATTTCCTAGCAGTGCTATTGCTGGGTCATAGGGGAGTTCTATTGTTAATTTCCTGAGTAGTCCTTTCTCTTTTATTTTAACTTTTTTTTTGGGGGGGGGAATATGAAGGCTTAGAAAAGCTGTAAAAATTATTCAAGGAACACCTGTATACATTTCATCTAGATTCATCAGTTGTTAACATTTTGCCACATTTGTGTATGCTTGCTCTCTTGCTCGCTCTCTATCACACATACACTTTAACTGAACTATGGGAGAGAAATTGCAGATATTATGATAGTTAATCATTAAATAATTCTTAAGAATAAAGTCACTTCCCATATAACAACAATACAATGGTCAAATTCAAGAAATAGAGTATAAGTGGAAGAAGCAGAAATTGCCTTTTAAAGATTGGGGTCAGAAAAAATAATAAGAAAAAAATAAAGGTTGGGTTCGGGATTGGCACCCCTTCACTTCCACTCTACTCTATTTGTAAAAGCAGTCATAGGCCAGCCCAGATTTAAAAGGAGGAGAAGTATGTCCCCATTTCTCAGCCAGAGTAATGTCAAAGAATGACATGCTAATTTTAATCTATCACACTGTGCATATTCATTTCCAATTGTCTCACTAATATACTTAGCAGCAACTTTTTTTCAATCCAGAAATTCAAATGTCAAATCTCCTTTAATCTGAAAGATTAGTCTCCTTTAATCTGAAAGAGTTTCTTTTTATTTTTCTTTGTCTTTCATGACATTGAAATATCTGAGATGTACAGGCCAGTTGTTTTGTAGAATGTCCCATAACTTGGGCTTATCTGACTGTTTCCTTGTGATTAAATTCCACTTCTGTATTTTTGGCAGGAATACAGTAAAGGTGATGTCATATCCTTAGAACACCACCTCATGTGAGATGCCAATTTGTACCTGTGGTGAACTTCACTTTGAGTACTTAAGGTGGTATCTGCCAGATTTCCCCAACGTACTGGTACTCTATCTCCATCATAATTGGTAATCTCCAAGACTTTCCTTTTTTTTTTTCCTTTTCCTTTAAATTGTTTAACAATTCAAACAACAACAAACAAACAAAGTTCTGTATTCTGTGTTAGAGAAGCCCCTGATCTATTGTGTAATAGTTCTGCTGACTGTCACTTATGTGTGACCTCCTATGTTTGGGGATTTTGTTGTCCTTAACTTGCATTTGCATCAGTCTTACGGGACTGAATCAAGAAAATGTCCTCCAGAGTGTGTTTCTGTTGCTTCTGCTTAGAACACAGGGAACTTGGTAACTCTTTAATGACTCAAGTTTGGTTCTGCTTCTTCCAGTCCCAGATCACAGTGTCATCAGACACTCTCCATGTGCCCTCAGGCAAAGTCCTGGTGCTTAGAGCTCAATGACCCAGTGCTGCTTCTTCCCAGGGCTTGTTCCTTTTGGTCGGGGTAATTCATGGAGAAATCATGGAAAATCTCTTTTCTCGTCAGTGGTAGGGTGTCCTGGAGAATCTGGCCTGCTATCCTGCCTGCCTAATCAGACCCACGATGATTTTTCACTTAAATCTTTAGTATCAATATAATTCTGTCTTGACTTTCTGTGATAATACCTTTGGAGAAGTTGGGATTTCGAATAATTTATTCAGTTAATATTCTCAATCGTCCGGCGAAATGGGAAGTGGGAAAGGCAGGTGATTTGGTACGTTACATAGTTGAGGGAGCTGAAACCCGTCAGGTGATGCAAGGTAAGTTTACTAAACTCTGAAGCCTCAGTTTCCTATTGTGTAAAACCAGAACTAACCATCTCTTTGAAGGAGCCAGTGCTTTGTGAGCATTCACAGGGCGAATTTGGGAAGCGCCCAGCACCTAGCTAAGTATTACTGGCACAAGGCTTTAAAGATCTCCCAAAAGACAAGAGGTCCACCCCTCTTTCTCCCTCTTTGCTCTTCCACCGCGCGGGTGGGGTCCGGCCAGCCGTGGGTGGAGCGCCACGCTAGCGGAGAAACTGGCCAGACCCGCCCCCGAGGCCCCGCGGATCCGACTCTCTGGGCGGACGGGGGGCGGAGCCCGCGCTCGGGAACCTCCTCCGGGGCGGCGGGGGCGGTCCCCTTGGGTCCTCACGCCTCCCCCCCTTCTCCCGGCGGTGCTGGCTGCGGCCGCGTCTGTGGTGAGTATGCCGGGCCTTGGCTCCGCAGGCGCCTGGGACGCGCAGTCCGGTGCGGCGGGCGGCGGCGGGCTCGGTGTGGGCATCGCCGTGGGGCGCATCCGGGTGGGCACCGCGCTGGGGCTGGGCGCGCGGGAGGCGGGCGCAGCGCGGCGGGGCCTGGCTCGGTGCGGCTGTCCTGCCCCAGTCCGAGCGGTGGGGCCTGACAGGGTCCTGCGGAGGCCGAGCCTGGCGGGAGGCACCGGCGCAGGTGCGAGCGCCCCCGCGGCGCTCCCTCTGCTGCGGACGGGGAAGCCGGCCCGGTGCTGCCAGGTAGGGAGAGGTTTAGGGGCGGTCGCCCGAATCTGGGGTCGTCCCCCAGCACCTCTTTCCCCGCGGGCGCATCAGCGTGAAAAAGCCCCTTCCTCCTTGGAGCCTTCTCTCCCAGGGTTTCTCCTAGGAAACCGACCAGCGGATCCCAGCCTGCGGCCTGCTGGCCTGCTGGCCTGCTGGCGCCGGAGAGTTGTGAGTCACCTGGCTTTTAAAGTACTTCAGAGACACCTGCCCGCTCCGGGAGTCCATCCCCCGTCTGTCGATCCGTGTCTGCTGATCGGTCTTCCCTTAGATAAGGGCTCTCTCTAGTTTGAAAATAATAGAAACGTCTAGGAGGATTGGGACTGAACAAAGGCCTTTGGATTGGTAGCGTTAGAGAGCAGTTACCAACAAAGTGGGCGCGCGCTGGGTTGTGTGGTGTTCAAGAGTGAGAGATGCCTGAGGACGTGGAGGCGGCCAGGGCTCAGGAAGAGCTTTGCAGCCCTTTGGTGATGAAAAGGAGGAGCAAGAAGATAGTACTTGGAGGGTTGAGGAGAGGTGTGTGTGTGTGTGTGTTTAAATTTCTAAACTTTTTAAGAAAGGAAGATAACATGTTAAGGATGCAAGGAAGTCCAGGCATCAATATTATTTAGGGTCCAGGCTAAGACACTGGGCTTTAAAAGGGGGTAGAAGACTATCCTACTAGACTAGGTAGGAGGGCTGGGCAGGAACTTTGGAATGTGTCTCTAGGGCAAGCAGATATAGCCTGATTGGACCATAGTCTGTCTTTTTGGAATTTTATCTTCTGGAACAAGATTGACCTTTAAACCCCACGAAATTGCAAAAATCTACAGGTTCCTGTCTTTGTGCATTATTGGGAGAGAAGATCCACGCCTGGATCAGATTAGAAACACCTGTGAGAGAAAAGTATTTACCTGTTTGACCACATAATCTTGTTTGGGGAGGGGGCAATAAAACTAGCTCTGTTATTGTATTTTATATGTCACATCAAATAAGTATTTAGTGGGGCGCCTGGGTGGCTTAGTCGGTTAAGTGTCCGACTTTCGCTTAGGTCATGATCTCGCGGTTCGTGGGTTCGAGCCCCGCGTCGGGCTCTGTGCTGACTGCCAGCTCAGAGCCTGGAGCCTGTTTCAGAGTCTGGGACTCCCTCTCTCTCTGACCCTCCCCTGCTCACGCTGTCTCTCTCTCTCTCTCCTAGAAATAAATAAAACATTAAAAAAAATAAAAAAAATAAGTATTTAGTATCTACGTTAAACTGAGCTAATAATGGGTGCTTTTTCCAGAGATGCATGCAAATGATTTGAGTGCTAATTATTTATCTCTTTGAAGGTCTTTTATTCAGAGTGGTAACATAAAAATCAAGTCAGTGGTGGGTTTATCCTCTTTTTTTAAGTCATTGAGGGACAGTGGTTTCTCAAACATACCTAAGTTCCTGTTGAAAATATGGATTCCCCGACCTCACTCAGACCTTTGAAATAAACATCTCTGGGAGTAGAGCCTAGGGATAGGAATTTCAAACAGAGACCACAGGATTCTCTGGCATTGAAAATTACGGACAGCTGTGAGGTTTTTCTTTCAGATTTGGGCTTGTTGGGGCCTCTTTAGAACAGATTTCCTTAAAAGTTATACTAATAAATTACTGCCAAACTTACAGAACTGAAAGTTACAATCTTGTATCTTGTACAACTATTTATTGTGTCATATATAAATTTTAATGTATTTTGAGGGAAATCTATATAGTCATTGCATTAGAAAAAACATTTCTAACCACAAAAACCTCACTTTATTTTTTTTATTTAATGTTTAACTTTTTTTGAGAGAGAGAGAGAGAGAGACAGAGTGTGAATGGAGGAGGGAGACACAGAATCTGAAGCAGGCTTCAGGCTCTGAGCTGTCAGCACAGAGTCTGACACAGGGTTCGAACTTACCAACCATGAGATCATGACCTGAACTTGGACGCTTAACTGACTGAGTCTCCCAGGTGCCCCACAAAAACCCCACTTTAGAACAATTAGAACATAGGGTAAAAACACAGTTTCCCAAATCCTATAATTAACAAACAACCACCAGTCATTCTGACATATATATAAAAGACATGTACACCATACGTTTAGAGATTAATTGGAATTATAATCTATGTGCATTTTTACATTCTGTTTTTTTTCCAGTTTGCTATTGTGAGTACCTTCCAATGCAGTTAAGTTTTTTAAACACCTTTTTAATAAAAAGCATACGTTCCAGCGTATGGAGTTACTGTAATGAATTAAATCAGCTCTGTATTGTTAACATTCTGATTCTTTTCAGTTTTTGGTTATTTTTATAATGTTGGCTTGAATATTGTGGTCTGACTCTCTGATTATTTCCTTAGAATAAATTACTAAGTGTTGGAGGTAAAAGCTATTAAAATGCATTTGAAAATCTCATTTTCACATATCTTCTCACTGCTTTTCCTCACTAGACGGAAAATGAACATTTCTGAAGGATCTATTGCCTTCTAGATCCATTCTCTTATTTCAGTTGTTCTCAAATTTTAGTAGGTAGAAGAATCACTTGGGGAGCTTGTTAAAAATTCATTTTCCTGGGCTCCTGGGTGGCTCAGTTGGTTAAGCGGCTGACTTTGGCTCAGGTCATGATCTCAGGGTTCATGGGTTTGAGCCCCACATCAGGCTCTGTGCTGACAGCTAGCTCAGAGCCTGGAGCCTGCTCTGGTTTCTGTGTCTCCCTCCCTCTCTCACCCTCCTCTGCTCACGCTGTCTCTCTCTCTCTCTCTCTCTCTCTCTCTCTCTCTCTCTCAGAAATAAATAAAACATTAAGAAAAAAAAAAGTCCCATCCAAAATTCTCATAGATTCTGTTATGCTGCATAACAAATACTATATAAAACAATGTCAGTCCTTTGCTGATTAAATTTACTGCATGTTTCCTGATTATTTTGTGGCGACCCTTGTTGTAACACAGTTAACACAGGACCATCCGGCAGCTCTTGCCTAGAGTGCGAGACACTGCTCCTGTGTGCTCTGTGGCTTCAGGATGGAAGTGATGTCTAAGCAGCAGTTCCTTTCAGAATCAGAAAAGAGAAGCACTGCTTTTGAATACTCAATGGCAGAGGACCAGAAGGTGGTGGACGTGACCGAGAGAAAGTGGCATTTATTAGAGGTGGGGCTCTTTTAGAAAAGTGTTGGTGTTTGTTAAATAAAGGGAGCAAGCATCGGGGTGAGCCTTTTTGAGTTCTTAAAATGTTCCCAAAATTTAGGACCCATTTAATTTTTTTCCTTTCTTTATTAATCTTTATTTTTCCTTCTCTCCCTGCCCCCCACCATCTGTTTTTGGTAGTCACCTGGGATTATGGTTTGTCCTTATGTATTTCAACTAATATTCTCTAGAAAGTCCCTGATTATTTACCAAACAGCACCTGCTATGTGTCAGGTCAGTTTGAGGTCCAAGAATATAAAAAACAATGATTCTCTTTGAGAATTAAGTTAACATGACTGTCATGTGTTGACTTGGGTTATACTCAGTCTCTGACTTTTAAAATTTTAACTTTTAATTTTTAATTAATTTTAGACTTAGAGAAGAGTTGCAAAAATGGTACAGATAAATCACTCAACTTCCTCTAATATCAGACCATTACATAACCATGGTTCAGTTATCAGTACTATTAACTAGACTACAGATTTTATTGGAATTTCATCAATTTTCCTGCCAATAATTTTTCGTTGTTGTTCCCATCATCTATCCAGGATCTACACTGCATTTGATTATTTCTCCTTAGTCTCTTCCATCTGAGATATTTCCTCAGTTTTTCCTTGTCCTTCTTTATTTTGACTCTCTTGAAGAGTACTGATCAGTTATTTTGTGGAGTTCAATATATCACTGATTCATGAGGTTAATAGGTCTTCTCACTGATGACACGAAACCTGATCACTTACGGTGAAACCTATGTTACACCAGTGTAAAGTTATTGTCTTTCCCTTAGCAACTAATAATTATATTGGGGGAGATACTTGAGACTATGCAAACTCTGTTTATCTTCAACTTTTCACCCACTAATTTTAATACCCATTGATGGATCTCGTCTGCAACAGTTGTTACAGTGGTGTTTGCTCAGTGATTTTTTCCATTTCCTGCTTTCTTATTAATTGTGAGTTTCCAGTAAGAAAGAGCTGCCCTTTTTCCTCCCATTTGTTTTTTTGATCATCTGCATCACTGTGGACTCTTCATTGTATTCTGTGGGTTAAAATGCAATGCCATCATCATTTTCTTGCTTAAATGTTTACAGTTTTGGAGCTTACAATTAGGAACTCAGTCTCTGAGTTTAAATGACTTGTACTCGTAAGTGGCTGTCATCATTTCTATCCCATCCTTACCCCCCGCCCAGGGAATCATTGCTTCTTCAGGGTCTGGGCAGTGATCACTTAGAAGCAGGTAAGGGAGCTATAAATAGAATAATGAATACCAGAGGCCCAAAGAAGGTAGGACAACATGTGCAGACACTCAGCTCTCAGGAGCTCTGCTAGAGTAGAAGGAATAGCAAAATATCAGCCTTTCCCCTACTGCTGTTCCGGAGAGGCCTGTGGGAGTAGGATCATGTGCCTGGGGCCATGCTCTGAGATGCCTTGTGCTTACAGGACTACCAGATGGGTTTGGAAACCAGCTGGGTTTGGAACGCTGATTTGGCACTCTTGGCTGCTAAATGAAGACCATACCCTTTCTTCCTGATGCATAAATGTTTAGTAAATATTTGTGGACTGCACCTGGTATTTCCCCTCCATCCCCCGTGGTACAAAAACGTGTATGTGTAGAGATTCTCCAAAAATGATACTTAGCATTAATGCTGATTTACCTTTAGTTATAGCTTATCTTACTTGCTAGATTCTTTCTTTCATTATTACGGTAAATTTCAAGCATACACAAAAGTAGAGAGAAAAGTAAAATGAACCCTTGGGGTACTATCACTCTAATTCAATACATCTCAATATTTTGCCAATCTTATTTCATCTATTCCTCCATTTTCAGGGATGGGCTGGCATATTTTAAAACAAAAGAGTCATTGAAATCTAAGAAAGGATTGAAATAAACACTAAGTGCAAGGACTATACCTTAACTCCCTTTGTATCCCCTTAGTGCCTAGTACTATGCCTGAAAATAGCTGATACTCAAAAAAGACTGACTGAATCGAGAAGAGGAAAAACCAGTTATGAAAGCATCATGGTTTGAACTATAGGACAGACCTCTAGAGTCTTGCTCTAAAATAACTTCTTTCACGTTACCTGAATTTGTCTACAGTCATGATTTTCCTGTCACTTTTTTATTTAAAAAGGAAACTTTTTTCTTTTCTCTTTTTAAGTTTTTATATAATTTATTTTTTATTTTTATTTATTTATTTTTTTACAAATAGTTTATTGTCAAATTAGTTTCCACATAACACCCAGTGCTCATCCCCACAAGTGTCCTCCTCCATGCCCATCCCTCCTCCCCCCCACATCCATCAGTCCTCAGTTTTTGTCAGCATTCAAGA